TTTTGTTTCTTCAGTTTCTCGATTTACAATCTTTCGAGTCTTCAATTCAAATTTTTCAGTTTTTGAAATTTTCCAAGTTATGAACTTTTAAATTTTTAGATTTTGCAAATTTTTCGATTTGAAAGTCCCGTGTTTTTAACTTTTAATGTTTCTATTTGCAATTTTTCGTTACGGCTTTCTACTTTCTTTATTTTTTCAATTATTCGATTTTTCAATGTTTCGGTTATATAATTTTTTATTTTTACAATTTTAATTTTTTTCAATTTTTCGATTTGCGATTTTGATTTTTCATTTTTTTTTTTCATCAATTTTTAGATTTCCCAATTTTTCCATTTCTCGTTTATTCATGTATAAATTTTTCAGTTTTACAACTTTCGAATTTTTCAGTTTTTATTTTTTCCAAATTTTTCGATTTAAAATTTCAAGTCTTCAACTTTTAATGTTTCAATTTGCAATTGTTCGTCTCGGTTTTTTTTTATTTTCATTATTTTTTCAATTATTCGATTTTTCAATGTTTCGGTTTTATAATTTTTTGTTTTCTCAAGTTTTTTGATTTGCGATTTTTAATTTTTCATTTTTTTTTGTTTCTTCAATTTTTTTAGATTTTGCAGTACTCAATTTTTAAATTATCAATTTTTCAATTCTTTAATTTTTCATTTCTTCAAATATTCGATTTTCAATTTTTAGTTTCCATTTTTTATTTTAATTTTTTTTACAGTTTCCCCCTTTTTCAATGTTCCGATTATCTAATTTTTTGTTTTCTCAATTTCAATTTTTTTCAATTTTTCGTTTCTTCAATTTTTATTAGCAATTTTTTTTGTTTTTTTAATTTTACGACATACATATCTTTTAAAATTTTCAGTTTTTCGATTTTTCAACTTTTAGACATTTCAATTCTTGGTTTTTGCAATTTTTCGACTTAAAATTTCTTGAGGTTTCCATTTTTAAAGTTTTAATTTTCCGTTTCTTTAATTTTTAATTTTTTCAAATTTTGGATTTGCAGTTTTTGGTTTCGATTTCATATTTTCTTTATTTTTACAGTTTCTTAATTTTCTAATGTTCTCATTTTATAATTTTTTGTTTTTTCAATTTCAATTTTTCAATTTCAATTTTTTCAATTTCATTTTTTTTTCGATCTCTCGTTTCTTCATTTTTTTGATTCGCAACTTTTGTTTTTTTTTTTGTTTCTTCGATTTTATGCAACGCATCTCTTCAATTTTCATTTTAAAATTTTTCAGTTTTTCAATTTTTTCATTTTTCATTTCTTCAAATTTTGGATTTGCAGTTTTTGGTTTCGGTTTCATATTTTCTTTATTTTTACAGTTTATTAATTTTTCAGGGTTCCGATTTTATAATTTTTTTGGTTTTTCAATCCCAATTTTTTCAGTTTTTCGTTACTTCAATTTTTTGATTTTTTTTGTTTCTTCGATTTTGCGATACGCATCTCTTCAACTTTCCATTTTTTAATTTTTCAGTTTTTCGATTTTCTATTTAGATGTTTCAATTTTTAATTTTTGCAGTTTTTCGACTTAAAATTTCTCGAGTTTTCATTTTTAAATTTTAAATTGTTCAATTTTTTAATTTCCCGATACTTCAAATTTTGGATTTGCAGTTTTTGGTTTCGGTTTAATAGTTTCTTTATTTTTACAGTGTCTCAATTTTTTCAGTGTTCTAATTTTATATTTTTTTTTGTTTTTCAAATTCAATTTTTTCAATTTTTCGTTTCTTGAATTTGTAGTTTTTGGTTTCAGTTTCATATTTTCTTTATTTTTACAGTTTCTCGACTTTTCAATGTTTTATAATTTTTTGTTTTTTAAATCTCGACTTTTCAATTTTTCATTTCAATTTTTTAATTTACAATTTTAAATTTTTCGGTTTTTCAATTTTCCAACTTTTGATGTTTCAATTTTTAGATTTTGCAATTTTTCGATTTAAAATTTCCCGAGTTTTCCATTTTTAAATTTTCAATTTTTTTATACTTTAATGTTTCATTTCTTCAAATTTTCGATTTACAGCTTTTGGTTTGGGTTTCATATTTTCTTAATTTTTACCATTTCAAGATTTTTTAATGTTCCGATTATTATTTTTTGTTTTTTCAATTTCGGTTTTATTAATTTTTCGTTTCTTCAATTTTTCGATTTACAATTTTTCAATTTTTCATTTTTTTTTATTCCTCAATTTTACGATATGCATCTACGAGTTTTCAGTTTAAAATTATTCAGTTTTCCGATTTTCCATCTTTTGGGTTTTGCAATTTTTCAATTTGCAATTTCATGAGTTTAGAATTTTTAATTTTTCAATTTTTAGATTTTTCAATTTTTCATTTCTTCAGTTCTGCGATTCGCAATTTTTCGTTTCCGTTTGTTGTTTTCTTTATTTTTTAATTTTTCGGTTTGCAATTTTTCGGTTTTCAGTTTTTCGATTTTTCGGTTTTTCGTTTCTCTGCAAGTTTTCTAGTTTTATTTTAAATATATATGTCATAATAATTGTAATTTTTAAAATATTTCGCTTTTCTAATTTTACGATTTTAGAATTTTATTTGGATTTTAAAACTTTCATTTATTCGATTTTTCAATTTTTCGATTTTTCAATTATACAGTGTTTCGACTTCACAATTTTGAAGAATCTATAATTTTTCGAAGGTATAATTTTTGGATTTTCCAATTCTTCGATTGGATTCGTTTTTTCTTCTTTCCAATTTTGCGATTCATTAATTTTTTCGATTTTTCGTTTATTCAGTTCTTCGATTTTGGAATGTTTCGTTTTTGCAGTTTTTCAATTTTTTCCGAGTTTTTGATTTTTCATTTTTAGTTTTTCGATTTTTCAACTTTCCTAATCAAAAAATGGAAAAAGTGCAAGACCCTAAAATCGAAAAATCACAAATGAAAAAATGAAAAAGTATAAATCAAGAACTTAAAAAGTTGAAGAAACGAATAATTGAAAAATCGAAAGATTAAAAATTGAGAAACTTAAAAATCGAAAAAGTGCAAATTCCAAAAAACCGAAATAGTATAAAATCAAAATTTTGAAAGAAGAAATCGGTGAATCGGATAATTGAGAAATCTAAGAATTACAAAATCGAGGATTTGAAAAACCAAGGATTGAAAATTTGAAGAATTGAATAAACGAAAAATTATAAAATTGAAGAAACATTAAAAAATAAACGGAATGAAAAACTAAAAACTGTAATATAAAATCGATAAAACTAAAAATAAAAGATCAGGAAAATGGAAAAAAATAAAAAATTCTAAAATCTAAAAATTGCAAATCGAAAAATTGAAGAAAGAAAGAAGTGAAAAACTTTGAAGTCGAGAAACTGAAAAATTGAAAAAATTAAAATTCCCCAAAAAAGGCAAAATTATGAAACCGAAACATTGAAAAATGGAAAAATTGACAAATTAAAGAAAGTATAAAAACGAAAAATTCTACAGTCGAAGAAAAAAGAAAAACGAAAAATTTTGATAAAAAAAAAATTGGTTGAAAGTAAATAAATCCACATTTTCGAAAAATAATATTTGATTTTGCTAATTTTATTTATTTATTTATTTTATAACCCTTATAAGTCAAAATAAAGATAGTTTGTTGCAAATGAGTTTTTCGGTTTTTGCGTAGACAATGCGTAAAATATTCCAGCAATGCGGTAAAAAAATCGATAAACACTGGGCGTTCAGGAGTATAAAAAAAAATTGGTCGAAAGTTGTTTCGACAGAACTTCCCTCGCTCCAGAAGTACAATGAAACATATCCACCATTTTCGAATTGAGTTTTTTCTTTACAAAATTTTGTGATGACGTCATTAGGTATATCAATTTGGATACATGCAGTGTAATAACAGTACTGTATTCCCAAATTTTCCGGAAAATGGAGTAAGTGTTTCTTGATTTAATCAGTACAATAGACTCCTTTCATTAATTTTTTTAGTTACCCTGTAAGTGCATTAATAAACCACAAGTTTAGAGTCATACTATTTGGCATATTTCAGAAAGGATTTATTCGTCAAAATTTTGAGATGACGTCATCAATTTTTTGGAAAGGGATAAACGAATCATTTTTGATTAACGACTTACCATGATTACGATAGCCTTAAAAAGTTTGCAAGATTTCAGAGCATTCGATTTTGCAATTTAAGTTAAATTGGAAAATGTTGTTAATTTTGATTTTTTCAAAAAACTCAACACAGATTCATACACTACAAATTCTGGAGTATCTTATTCTATAAAAATAAAAACAAATTTACTTTTGTGATTTTATGGAGATGACGTCATCAAATTGTTGGCACTTACGATTAGCCAATTTTTGGTTCTATAAGGTAGTTCTAAATACACACAAAATTTGACAACTTAGCTCGATAAGTAAAAACAAGACAACGAATAACAGATCCTGTGATTTTATTTTAATATACAAATTAATGGTAATAAAATCGAAAATGTCTAAATAATTATACTTACTTCTCGAGAATGTCTAATGTTCCCCTAATAAGTAATTCGCATAATTATTTAAAATATGAATACTACGAAAACTACAGAACAGAGGCATGAAAATTATTCTGAAATATAATAGATTCAAATGAATGATGTTAAGTATTTTAGTGTCCCAAAAATTGTTTTACATAATTATTTGTTAGCAGATGAATGAAAAAACGTAGACTTTCCCAAAAAATACAAATAATCAAAAAACAGAACATCTTTTTCCGACCTTAACCATCTTGTACCATCCAGTTACCAAGACCACAACAGCAAAAAAAAAGCCAAACCCACCGCCTGCATAACAAAAATCATTCTTTCCCACACTCCTACACCGCCCATTCCTCCATCTCCCAAAATGGAGTAATTCCATCTTAATTGCCTACTCCCCTTGACAGTGACCCACCCCATCCGTCACGTCCGCCTCAATTGCCTCCTCACGACCACTGACCTTTCCTCTTCTTCATGCACGACTTCGTGACCGTCTGCTCGCGCACAAAAAGAGAATACGAAACTCGAAACGAAAGCCAACACTCACCAAAGAAAGCGATCTCTGTCCCAGGCCGGGCGAGTCCTCCGGTTCCGGCGGGCAATCCGAGTGCAGTGCTGAGCGGCCGCCGACGCGCCGGCCCCCTGCCTGGCTGCGGGAACGTGGACTTGACGGGAGCGGCGAATTCATCGCAACATCGCGAACCAGCGATGCTTTCTGCCTACTCCTGGAAAAAAGCACCGGCTGAGCTTTATGGGCGATGGCTCTTATAAACGATCGTTAATTATTTTATGGGAGTTCGGCGACTGGTCGGATGGGTGTTGTGATAAGATCTAATGGCCGCTACGATGGGGATCGTGTGGCTGATTGCTGCTGGCAGGTGGGAAAAAGGAACGAAACGGTGGGAGGGTATAGAGGAATTTGAGTTTAGAACTGGAGTATTTATAATGATTGTAGGGCGGGTCTTAAGGTCTAATTTGGAATACATTTTTTATTGTTGTTTTTCGAGACCATCAGACGACTCTCTACCTTTACGTTTTCTCGACCTTTCATCACCCCTAGAGTACGAAGAAATAGGTCTTCCTTTGCCGTCTGTCGGTCTGTCTGTGTGTCCGTCTGTCTGTCCGTCTGTCTGTCCGTCTGTGTGTCTGTGGTTACGGATTTTTATTAGACAGATAATCTCCGAAAGTACTGGGCCGATTGTTGTCAAATTTTGTATTTTTTTTTCTTTTGTCTAATCATCCCCACCAATAATGTGATGACGTCACTTCAAAATTGTACATAGTAAATGGGTTTTAAATTGTATAAAATAACATAGTCCTACACACGTAATTTATGACTCCGTGTTGAGTTTTTACTCGAAACGTGCAGATTTTTGGAAAAAAAATCAAAACTATAAAACAACATTTTGCAATTTAATTTTGAATCTGCTAAACCGAATGCTTTGAAATCTTGCAGATGATAGGCATGATAAATTTTTAATCGAAATACATTTACTTAAAATGTAGAAAACATGATGAGTCTGTACGTGTGATTTATCATTCCATTCATATTTTTTTGGATTTGCTTATACAGGGTGACTCAAAAAAATTAATAAATCAGTGAATTTATTTTATTGAATAAATCAAGAATTGCAAAACTCAATGCTTTGAAATCTTGCAGACGTTTTAAAGTCATTGTAAGCATGGGAAATTGTTAATCAAAATAAATCTGTTTATTCCCCCAAAAAATTGATGGCGTCATATCAAAATTTTCGGGGATTTGGTACATTCATATTTTCTCGATATTTCATACCTCCAGACAAGGCTGTAGCTAGGGGAGGCTAAGGGATGCTGAGCCTCTCCTAGATCTAGACAAGTTATAATTAACCAAATCTGATTACAACATTGAAAATCATCTCCTTTACATTGTTGAAAGCACATTTTTACTGTTAACATTATTTTACAAAAACAAAAAAATTGCTGTTAGTTTGTCACAAGAAGCCTTTAACAATACTAAAATAATAATCTAAACAAATAAAAATATACTTGTATTAGGTGTTACCTTTCAACAAATGCAAATTTTGTGTTTTGATAATTTCCAAAACGAACATCCTGTAGAGAAGTGGAAGCTAAATGAGTGAGGAATATTTTATATGTAAAAAAATTAACTCATTCAGCTCGGTTTCTTTTGACCTCTATTTTTCATATCTGCATGTGTAATCGCTTTTATCTTATTAACACCTGGGAATCGTAGAGGAATACATTCATTCGTAAGCAAAAACATCATTACTAAGGTTTTAAAGAATTTATATACTGTGTCAAGAAAAACATGGATAAAAAATGAGTCCACCTTCTTCTATAGTCCTTAGTTTTTAAATTAACCGATAAAATAAGTTGTTTTTAAACACCCTGTATAAACAAAATAATAATAATGATAATAATACTTGAATGGTTCTTTGGAAAAGAAGAGTTTTGTACCGAGTAAGTAGACTCTAAGAAATTGTATACATGTAAATATTGTATCCAAGAAAAAACAAAATTAAATTAAATTAACATATTAAAAATATAAACATTTTGTTAATAATAGTATATCGGGTGATTTTTTAAATTTCTTCTTTAGTTGTTCATGACGTTTACATCAGTGGTTTCAATTACACGACTGTCGTAGACGTCATGGCCAACTAGAGCAAAAATTTTAAAAATCACAAGGTACTTCTTGCCCATATTAGACAATTCTCATTATTCGAATAGTTCATGTTCGAGAAATATACTAACCCTACGGTAGCATTTATTAAGAAATATGGTGAAAAGTTTGTTTAATTAATATTTTAAATTTAAGTAATTTAAATTTTGAGATGACGTCATCACTTTTTTAATCTGGATGAAGCACCATACATGATGTTCCCAAAATTAATCTAAAATCTCAGAACAATATGTTTGCCAATTTCGGAGTTACAAATAAATAAATAGTCTAATAATATCGTCAACAAACAGAAATAGGAGACCTACTTTTTCATATTCCAAAAGCCATGAAAATGATCCATTAGTTTTTCACATCTATATATTTTAATAAAAATCTTAAAATTAGAATAAATATGAAAATGTTTTGAAATAATTACATACAGGTATACAGAGTGTTTACTAAGCATCGGTAAAAATTCGGGGGTTATTCCTTGGGTTGATTTAAGAGTTTTACTTCCCAACCATGAGTATTGTAACCGAGTTCATCGGGCGACTGGCTGCTTTCACATTTTCTCGACGTTTCTGACCCTTAGAGTACAAAAAATTGGTCTCCCGTTTCCGTCTGTCTGTCTGTCTGTCCATCGTCTGGGTCAATTTTCGTTAGAAAAATATTATGTAGATGGTAAAACGTAAAATGGTAACCAAAATTTGGCTAATCATTCCCATCAACAACAGAATAACATAATCTCCAAAATTTCCATTAGTCAATGTTAATTAAATTTTACACTATATTCTAAGTTAACTTTGAAACTGCTAAACCAAGTGCTTTGAAATTTTGCAAATGTTTCAAGGTTAAGCATGATAAATCGTTAATCAATTTTTTCCCCTCCAAAAACATTATTATCATTTTACACTTGTGGTGAAGTAATACTTGCTAAGTAAGACTGATTTTGATAAATGCCTTACCCTCTAAGAAAATAAAGGGTGGGTGGGCGGGGCTAGTATTTTATAGGATAAGACTGATGTTGGCACTTTTGACATTTACGACCATTTTTCAACTATTTTTGAAAATTAATTGAATTCATTTTCTTGTAAAATTCGATATCCAGAAGTTCTTTAAATTTTTTAGAAAGTGTGATTTATGTATTCGTGTGCAGTTTTTACCTTTGATATCCAGGTTCTTGGGAAAGGAATGGAATCAAAATTGTATAACAACATTTTAAAATTTAATTTTGAAATTGTAAAAGCTGTAAAGCTTTTAAGGTTATGTGAATCATGATAAATCGTGAATCAAAATTTATTCGTTTGGGGCCTTCCCAAAAAATGATAACGCCATGTTACAATTTTCCGAATAAACGTTATTTAAATTTTTTGAAATAACGTACTCCTGCACTTGCGATTTATGAATTCGTTCGAGTTTTTACCGTAGAGATCCAGATTTTCTGGAAAACTTTGTTACAAAATTTTATAATTTAAGTTTTACCGAATGAATAAATGTTCTACAAATATTTGAGTGTTTACGCTAGACATCCAGTTTTGGGAAAAAACGAATGACTAATGCGTTGAGGAGGCAAAATCGATCAAATTTCATTTTCTTTAACACAAATTTCATCGCTGATACTTGTTATCTGAACGTGTTAATAGTCGAATTCTTTCAAAGTATTAACATAAACAGTCGAAGTTAAGCATGTATTGAGAAACTGAGAATAACCTTCTACCAGTTCTTTTGTCCTTCGATAATTTTCGGAAAAACAGTGTGTTTCAAAGATAAAAAGCGCTAAAAAAACTGCTCAAAATGACTACCACCAACTAGGATGCATGCATCCAATTTTCTTCTAATTGATTGACGGAACTTTTTCAAAAATACCAAGGTTATTTATGAATTGCATTACATCCTTCAATTATCCGATTTCTCAAATCTTCTTCATTATCCGATGGAATAGTAAATGAGCTCATAAATAAAAATTTTAAATATTCAAGTCCTTTTAGTTGATTTGGGGTTGTTTTCCGCCTCATGAACGTGCGAAGTTTTTCATTAGGAGGCTGACTGATAACGACATGTTTCGACTTTATTACATATTGAAGTCATCCTCAGGTTTTTACAAGCTAGGAACATGGATTTTTAAAAAACATTAATGAAATTACAATTACTTATTAAAATAATGAAAAAGCCCAAGTATTCTACAAAATGGTGTGATTTTTGTGGAACATTGGTTGTGGAATTCAAGTCCGTTTTACTTGACTTTTATCGTCCCATATCTTCCAAACCAAGTGTTTTTTTTCGAAAATCATTACAAAACAAAAAAATCTTAAAGTAACGAATAACCCCTCAATTTTGGCCGCATGTTTAATGAGCACCCTGTATAAAAACTCATGGCTAAAATTATGACCGAGGGACCCAAATATACATATTATGTGATTGCAATAAAAGAAATTTAATTTTTTTCTGACACAGTTCACCCTTCTCGTTTCTTAAGTCAAACTTATTATTTGATTCAAGTTTAAAAAAAGTGGTCGAAGGTTGATTTCGACAGAACTTTCCTCTCCACGGAAGTACAATAAAACAAATCCACCTTTTTCGAAAAATTATAAAATATAAAGAAGCACGCTGCGCTTATATTTCAAATGAGTTTTCACTTCTCAAAATGGGTAGGTGCAGTGTAATACTAATGACAACAGTATTGTATTCCCAAATTTTCGGGAAAATAGACTTAATCAAGATTTAAAAACTGTTAATGCAATGATAAATCACAAATATAGGCTCATTTTGAGATGACGTCATCAATTTTTTGATGGGGATAAAAGATATATTTTGACTAAAAATAATTTTTCAATTCAATTTTCCTGATTTAATCAATAAAATAAATTGACCCTTTATTAATTTTTTGAGTCACCCTGTATAAATAATTCTAAAAAGTATGAGTGCCTTGATAAATCACAAGTATACAGTCATAATATTTTGCATATTTCAAAGAGGATTTATATTTTACTTTTTTTTCTAAATATACATAGCCATCTTTTCACAACAAAAAACTTAAAACATGGTTAAAATGGTACATTTTTG